TTAAATTAAATAAATAATTATAAGGGTATAAAATGTAAGTATTAAAGATAATTTTATTAGTATATATGATGTTTAATAATACGATTAAATCCAACAACATTCAATATTTGACTTATTTTGAAGGTATAATGAGATGATTATAATAGTGTAATTTGTTAAAATAAAAACGTATTTTTATCACGTACTAAAAAATACGTATTTTTTTTACAAATTACACCATTAAAAAGGTCTTGTCGATACCTTCGAAATGAGACCAACATTTAATATTTTTAATGTTAACATAAATAAAAAAATAGCATATTTTTGACATTAATTGCAATCATGTATCGTAAATGCAAAATTTAATCGCTATTAAATACGCATATATAGTAAATGCAACATTTAATCTCCGTTAATACACATTTTTAACGTTAATTGCATTCATTTATGGATCCCTCAGCGGATCGGTGACGACTTTTTGAATGATTCGATCATTCGTTCTGTAGAAAAAGAAGTGTTTGTCTTCGTTTACGAATGGAAACGTATAGTACTCAACCGCTTCAAAAAGATGAAGTCTCGTAGGGAACAGTTGTAGACGGTAGCTTATACCCTTTTTTGGATGAAACTGTATTTTTAACTACGCTTTTATTTTAATATAATAATATATATTAATATGAAAATTATTTTATGACACACTATCCAAAAATTTCTGGATCCATCTCATTAAGATATCTATCTAAGGAATTGTTTGACAGTTACTGAATGATTTAATACATAATGATTAAGTGGTCAGAATGATTAAGAAGCTATTATGATATGGTACAAAATGGAATATATAATTGTTTACAATGAATTAGGGTGTTGAATGGTTAATAGATACTCATGATACAAAATCATTCAGAGAGTTTTAAAACCATTAAAAGACAAAATTTTTTTTACCAAACAAGATTTACCTCTTAAAAATTAATAAACTGTCTTTTAATAGAACTATTAAAAAATAAACAAACAATACTTAAGGTATTTATTATTTAATGCTTTTTTTTTTTCAATGGAGGTGATAATGGAGTCAGGTAAAGCGTTATCTTCATGCAATAAACTTTAGATATGACGACATTATTCAAATACGAACCTTATCAACTCATGTTGGAACACCTAAGCAAGCAACGAAAAGATCCAATCAAACACTTGCCAAATCCATTGCTTTTCTATACCTGTCTTTTTCAAATCATCTTTGTATGTATGTATATGGGGTCATTCAAGGGATAACTGATTAGTTTGTGGTAACTGTGAGATCTAATTTCAAGCACATATCAATAGATGAATTATGAAATTTATAATTTTGGTAATTTTGATTTAAAGTTTTAATACAAGGACATTTTAGGTATTTTCTCTCCTCCATCCTCCATTCTCTCTTCGTCCCTCGTCCTCCGGCCACCGTCTTCCGGTGATACCTAAAAATATTGACTATGTTAAACAAAAGACACGATGTGATACCCAAACACATATAAGATGCATTGTGATACCACTATGTTACATCTTCGATCGACCACATAAACGACCCTAATGTGATATCCAAACACATATAAGAT